ACTATAGTCTCAATATTCTGACATCCTTCCGAACAACTTAATAATAATCTTTTACCAATATTTATCATGGGCCAAAATAACATGTGACAAAAAATCACAGATACTTGGAACAGTCACACATGGAACCTGTGACTGAAAAATACTGGTTTGTGTCATCCCTACTATCTGCCTCAATTCCTGGAGCCAATCGTCCAGTGTCTCTAGTCTGGGCTTAAGTTCTTACAGCTTCTGCTGTGCTACTGTGGCGTTCTCCCACAACTACTAGCAAATCCGCATGTTTGATATTGATGAACATTTTGTGAAAAAAGGTTCAAACTAAGTCACAATTTGACAAATGCTTGTTACTCTTGACAAAACCTTCCTACCTGTAATTTTGTTTTTTGTGCAGCTTTGAATTTTCAACAAAACTTTTCATAATTTGACCTCAAGATGGTAATGTTTCTTTTCGAATGCATCAGTATTTCAACAAACTACCAATCAAACATGGGTCCATTTCGGAAAATTCCGTTTTTAACTGTTAATGTTTTGTGGAAATTTTTGAGAAAAAAAATTCAATATTTTTCTCATACTCTCCAAGAGAGCTCCCATAACCCCTTAGAAGGAATGACGCCAATTTTGAATCACCCTGCATCTTCAGTATTAAAAAAATTGATTGAAAAAAACCCAAATTTAAATGAGCAAATTTGTAACATTTAGTTAGGAAAACGCACTAACGTCTGCTGTCTTGTGTGATACATTTCAACATCAGCTGGACGGTCTAAACATACATACTCATAATCATCTAGAACACGCAGTGAAAGTGAGAACATTTGCCTGAAAGACGCAAACAGGTCCATGTGTACACCAGAGGAAATAACAATTTTTTGCCGACCCAGAAAAAGTTTTGTGTAAATTAATCTGTGATATTTACAGAATTTGGCAATTTTTATTGAGTTATTATAAACTGGGGTCTCGATATGGCAACTGTTTGTTGATTTTTTTGGTTCACCCCTGATGGGAATGGCTAACATTAGTGGCTGTCACATCTTAGGGAAACGGCATCGATTACGCTCCAACTGGATGGGATTTTTCCTTGGCAAAAAATGTTTGCGAAAATAGATATCTGACAGGCGAGCGCATTCACTTATTTCTAGTCACTTCCGGTTCCTAGGCCCCGTTTCCGGCTGATCCGAGTTTGCCAAGTCGACCGGAAAGGCCTTTCTTTCGTAGAGCCATCGAACGCATGGGGGACGTTTTATTGATGATGTTGGCACTTGCAACAAAGTGACAAGTTGAGGAACAAGAAGTTTGAAAACTGGTTGGTTAAACCAAGTGCTCAAAATTTCGCGGTATGTCAACGCAACAGTAAAACTAAACTCCCTGGGGAAAATGAGGAAAACAAGTCGACGCCACGATACAAATCTACTTTACGACATCGACTGACAAAAAGATATCGGCGGGATGGAACAGGCCGTTTCTGCATGACCGATCCCTCGGGAAGATACTTTGTCATCCCCGCGGGGGTTGTTCTGCACCCCTTAATGGGTTATTTATGTCCGCGTGCCACTTTTCGGCCCAGTCCGCTTGCATAAGTGTTGGGGTTGGAAATAAACTCCGATTTCGATGTTTTCCAATGGGGCTGTTGACTTTCCGGCAACAGTTCATTAGGCAGTGCATATTTTATCCGCTAGCAATTAAGCAAGAAAAAAGTGGGCGCAGTCGGGTAGCAATTGGGCGCTGATTGGAAGTTGTTCTCAATTTGTGCAACGGCGCCAAACCGTTCAAAATTACGCCCCAGGCAGTTTCGACGATTCATCCCGCGGCATTAATTCCGCTAAATAAAAAGCCAAAGAATGCGATCCGGGTTTTATCGTTGGGGGGTCGCCCATACTAAAAACTTTTACATCATCATGACCCGAAAGAACTGTGCATAACAATGAATTGATGTCCCTTGTTTTCGCGGCTCCAGATCATGTGGCACAGAGGGATGTGCTTATT